TGCCTCGGTTTGGGGATGGTTGGCAACTCAGATGACTCAGATCCCTAGGTATCAGGATAGCCCACAAATCAACAACCACCCTACAGTAGCCACTGATGAATGTAAAGGATCTCATATCCACAACTAATAAAACCAACGTAATGTACAAAATACCATTTAAGGACTGTGAGAAACATTACATAGATCAAACTGGAAGAAAACTGACAATAAGGATACACAAACACCAACTAGCCACCAAGAGACACGACCTGTCTGACTGGTCTCAATACACACGGACAAACAAGGACATGAATTTGACTGGGAAAGCACATCCATAATAGCACAAGCCAAACAGAGATACGTGAGGGAATTCCTGGAGGCCTGGCATTCCAACTGGAACTCCATCAACAAACATATTGAACTGGACCCAATATACAAACCACTGAAAAACAGAACCAGAAGGGATGCCAACCACCCCAGCAAACCAAGGCGCACTGATGATGTTACCTAGCAGGATGACTGCAATCAAACACACTGGCTCGCTGAGCAAGTCTACAACCTCAGCACGGAGTGTAGTTAGTTCATGGGGAGGTAGGTTGAAATGGATAACGGGGGTAGAGAAATTGAGGCAACTAGTGTCATGTTGGCAGTTCTTGATGAACAAGTCAAGTGCAGATCAAAGGCCAGAGGGAGAGGTCCAAGTGGAGGGAGAGTGTTAGCAGTGAGCGGGATCTGTGGGATGGGGAATGGACTCTTGTCCAAAGAAATGGGCATGGAGGCGAAGGCAGTGGAAGAAGAGTTAAATGTCATATCCTGCCTGAAATTCATTAAGGTGGAGATGCAGAGAGATAAAACTGAGACCTTGGGTGAGTACAGACCGTTCAACTTTGGAGAGCAGAAAGTCAGGAGGAATGATAAATACATGGCAGGAAGTGGATTGGGAGAAGGGATGGAATCAGAGGGAAGGGGGAGGAGTGGAAGATTCAGGAGGGCCAAGTGTATCTCTTGACATGTTGTATCTTGTATTCCTTGATGCCTGAAAGGAAAGGAAAAAGGTGCTTGTTAGCATGTCGAATGAGCTGGAAGATGAAATTGAACTGGGGAGTACTGCAACTGAGCCAGCATGAAGTGAGTGCTGTTGGAGAGAGAGGTCGAGAGTGTGCATATGATGACGCATGGCACTCTGAGTGTGGATCTCAGAACGTGGCAAGAATGGGTGTCTGTGGTAATCATGGGTGGATTCAAAACACGAAGAATGCAACTTGAGTTGGAATCCGTGTGGGGTGAGTCTGAGCCGGAGACAGTCACTAAGGAATGTGACGTGGCTACGGAAACAGGTTTTAGCAAATGCCTTGTCAAACACCAGGACCGACAGTAAAATTGATGACGATAGAAAAGAAAAATAATTGGAACGTAAATCCTGTCAGAAAGAGGAGCAGAATTTCTTCAAGGTGGGCATGCCTGGAAGAGATGTGACACTAAGTTAAATACTAAATAAAAACCAGAAGAACTGCAGATGCTGGAAATCAGAAACAAAAACAGAAATTCTTGGAAAAGCTCAGCAGGTTTGGTAGCATCTGTAGAGAGAACTAGCTACCATCAATTCTGAGGAAGGATCACTGGACCTGAAACGTTGACTCTGATTTCTCTCCACAGATGCTGCCAGAGCTGCTGAGCTTTTCCAGCAATTTCTGTTTTTGTTTCTGATTTCCAGCATCTGTAGTTCTTTCGGTTTTTATGTAACATTTCCAAATTTGTTGATGACACAAAACTACATGAGTTTGTGAGTTGTGAGGAGGATGCCTGGTGGCAATCTAGGTAAGTCTGTGGGCAAACATGTGGCAGATGTAGTACATCATGGACAAATGTGAAGTTATATACTTTGGTCTGAAAAAACAGGTAGCGTATTATTTAAATGATTATTTAAATGATGATAGATTGGAAAATGTGAAGAAATCTTGCAGACCATTCATTTCATTTCAAGAGTATTTGAGTTCAGAAGCCCTTGGTGAGATGGCAGCTGAAATATTTTGAGCAGTTTTGATCTCCCTACCTAAGGGAGGAAACATTTCAGAAGGAATGCTTAAAACTGGAAAAATGTACAACTTATAAGAATAAAAGCAGTTACTTTGAATTCATGAAGGGACACATGCAAAAGGGAGGTAGAATTAAAGCAAGTCAAATTAAAATAATAAAGTAAAACCAAAGGAAAATGAATCTAAATGTCCAGTTTTATAGTAAATTTATATATATTCTGAAGGTAACAGATAGTTTTTAGAGTTACAGGATGGTATATCAGTGGGGATGAGTGGTGTGTACGTCCTGCAGTGTGTGTGAATTCATGGGTATACCAAATGTCCCAGAAAACCACATTTGCAGGACGTGTCACCAGATGTACAAGCTTGAGCTCTGTGTTTTGGAACTTGAGTAGCGGCCTTGTAAATTTCTCCAGCAATTTCTGTTTTTGTTTAAGATTTACAATATCCACAGTTATCTGTTTTATTATAGCTGCAGTTAAGATGTTGCCCCTGTTTAGGGAGTCTAGAACCTAGTACAGTTTAAAAAAGGGTAATGCTATTTAGGACTAAAATGAGATATTTTTTCACCCAGAGGGTGGTAAATCTTTGGAATTATCTACCCCAGATAGCTCTGGAAGCTCAGTATTTGAATATATTTACAGTAGAGATTGATACCCCTTTGGTTATCAGTAGTGTAAAGGATTATGGAGATAGTCTGAGTGAAGTGTTCGATTCGTCCTGATCTTATTCAATGGAGGTGCAGGTTTGATGGGCTAAATGGCCTACTCCTGTTCCTAGTAGTAGATGGTTCCATTTCGTCTCCACTGTGTCGTTAAATTCTGAAACACATGAGCAATGGGTCATGATCACACCTGTCCACTTCAATTGATTCAGAATGCCAGAAGAGAAATGTTAATACTAAAGTTCAGTTAAAGAACCAGTGGGAAGCGTACTCTGCAAAACTGTGAGTTCCTGACCTGTTACCAACTTTTTCCTTGTTGAGAGGGAGGAGGAAGAAACCATCGTAGATTTTGAACATGATCTTTCCAATTTATATTAAACCTGATGTAACAGCCGTCATTCATTATTGATTGCAATTTGTAATGCCAGTATTACCATTGCTTTCAGGGACAATTAAGAAAGTATTTCTTCCTAAGTCTTACCGGTGAATTGATTCTCTCTGAGTTATGATAGAAATTGATTATAATTAGTTTGAGGTTAATCTGCATGATATATTTTGATAATGGAGTATTGGTTTTTAGGACATAACTCATCAAGATTGGAAGTAATTTACAAAATGCTCAGGTTTCATGTAGGGCAATTGCGTATTACTATTCATACCTCAGAAAATTTCATTTCATTAAGGCATGTATTAAATATGTTAGGAACTATTGCAAAGTTCTGTTGTGTTTACCTTCTAATTACCTGTGAAACGTCTAAATTATTTGTACCAAACTCTCATCGTTAGCTCTCTTCAGTGCCTTACAAGTTGTGGTCCAGCCAAGACCAAAGTGACCTTCACTTCAGGGAATGTTAGCGTCATTTAAGTGCAGTGTATCAGCCTGAAATGATAATTTGCACATTATACCTGTTGGCATACAAAAGTTTGAATTCCAAACCCACAATGGATTATTGAAACTAATCTAAAATGGCAGGTCATAAAACACAGCTTCAGGGCAGACTAAGTAGAAAAACGTTACCTTGAACCAATTTGGTGACTTCAACTAGACAGCATTTATCAACCATATACTCCAGGGTACGTGGCAGTAAAACTAAAATGACTCATTTTCTTGGTTATGGTCCTCCCAAAATGATATTAAGTTGGGAATTTCAAGTTTTTGTACCTCTGCTGATGAAGAAACAGCAAGACAGTATATGACCAAGTCAGAATGGTACATGACTGGAGGGGGAGTGAGCTAGTAATGATGTTTCTGTGATGTAGCTACCCTACCACTCCTTTACTACCAAGGTATATGTGTCAGCAATTCAGGGGAGTCACATCATCGGAAAGTCATTTCAAGGTATGGCAACCTAAAGTGGTTTCGTACAATCAAAGGATAGTTACTGCTCATTTCCTCTAGTCGTGCAATTTCTTGGCTCTTAATCATTTTCCCTTTATCGAATTCCCTTGTGAAAGCAACAATTGCATCTGACTCTAGTCCCCTTTTGTCAAGAAGTGTTTCCTCATGTCACCTTTAGTTCTTTGCCAGCAATTTTAAATTGGTGTCCTATGGTTCTTGAATCCAAACAGTTCTTTTCTATCTATGCCATCAGGACTGCTCAGGATTTTCAATACCTCAGCCAAATCTCCTCTTAATCGTCTCTTCATTTCCCAGATTTTCTTGCAGGATTTGCCTGAAGGTTGAAAGTTGGAATTATAAATTTATATTTTTCTATTTCTTTTAAATTATTGAAGTCTTGAGAGCTGATAATCTTATTTCTATAGTTCAAGGATTTACTGAACAGAATTTTATTTTTAAACTGTGCTGATTAATCATGAGTACTTCAGATCATTTTAATTATGTGGCTCATTGCTCCTTCCAGCAGTTTACAGTCACAGTACCAGCAGTAAAAAGAAATACAGATAATGTAAGTCTAGATTGATATGCTATTTTGTAGTATGGGTATCACAGATTTAATCAAATTCTGACTGCCTCTAATGTCCATCTCTGGAAGGATGCTACTTCATAGTGTTAAGGAGTGACATCACTGTCTATTTCCTATTCCCCCATTATAAGAATACTGAAGCTAATTAAAATATACCTGTCACCATAACTACCATTGGATGCAGACTCAGCTTAATTTGTCGATTGTTCCTCAAACTTTTGTTGGTCTGTACAGTTTAATTCTAATTTTAGTGTTATAGTTATCATTGGAAAAGGAAAAAATGAGACAAATTTATGTTTTACTCTCTGACTGCTATGCTATAGCTAACAAGTATTTTTGAAATATAAACGAGAGGAACATTTTATATGTACTTAGCATTTTTAACTATTTTCTTAGGTGGACAATGAAACCAATGTTCTTCAGGATGGCTCACTTGTTGATCTTTGTGGAGCAACACTTCTGTGGAGAACAGCAGATGGCTTGTTCCATACTCCAACCCAAAAGCACATTGAGGCTCTTCGACAGGAGATAAATGCTGCGAGACCTCAGTGTCCAGTTGGGCTTAACACTCTAGCATTTCCCAGCATTAATCGAAAAGATATTGTGGAAGAGAAACAGCCCTGGGCTTACCTCAGCTGTGGTCATGTCCATGGTTACCACAACTGGGGCCATCGTAGTGACACAGAAGCCAATGAGCGAGAATGTCCTATGTGCAGAACCATCGGACCATATGTGCCTCTTTGGCTAGGCTGTGAAGCTGGATTTTATGTGGATGCAGGACCTTCTACACATACATTTAACCCATGCGGACATGTGTGCTCTGAGAAAACAGCAAAATATTGGTCTCAAATTCCATTACCCCATGGTACTCATGCATTCCATGCAGCATGTCCTTTCTGTGCTATACAACTTAATGGAGAGCAAGGCATCATTAAACTAATTTTCCAAGGACCAATTGACTGATGAAGATTTGAACAAGGGCAAAAAAAAACTCTTTTGGGAAATACTGTGAAAATAATCTGCTACTGTAGCTGGATGCCCACTTGGCGGATGATTGACATAATTATTTTTGGAGGAATTGGGAGGGCAAGCAGGTTGGTGTGGGATACAGTTAATTGTGATGTGGATAATAATGATTAATAAATGTTTTACGGGTGCAGAATTTGGAGAGCCATTCGTAAAAGCTACAGCTGAAAAAATAAAAGTTACCCTTTTGCTCTAACCTATTTTGCTACAGTGTGCCCTTTGTATAGTTTTATAATTTATATGATTTTAATATATTGCGTGTATATTGAATGACTTGTCTCGGTGAAGCTGTAAATCATTTTATGGCTTTTGCGTAAACTTGGCAGTAAAGTATTTACTTATTTAGATTTGCTCTCTTTTAGCAAGAATGTATAGCGCTGATCTGCTCATTAACTATAATTTGATTTCATTTCTCAGGTGTGCAGATAAATGATTAGCTAAGCTCTGCACCAGAGATCAGTGGCAAGGTGGATATTTGTCATAATACTGAAGTATTCTTCAAAAGCTTTGCACATCTTTTGCAGTAATGTTTCTGAAATTCAATGCAATATTGTACTTTGAAATTATTCTAATTTTTGAATGATGAAATGAGCTGTGATGCCCTATCCGCACGTCAAAGAAAAATTTGTTACAATTTAATTGAAACTGAATGAATATTTGTTTTAGTCTTGTTTTACAATTATTTTTCCATTTGAATTGCATCTTCAGTGTGCCATTAAATACTACATGAAATACCAATAATTGCTGCAGATTCCAGTCTGTTGCCTCTCAGCTGTGTACTGTTCAGTTCTGCTGTATAATGCGTTACCAGTTTCAAGTACAATGTTTACATAATTTCCAGTAACAATTCTGATGCAGCTTTTATTGATTATCATTGTACAAACGAGCAAAGTAGCAGCATGAATGTTAACAGTAACAGCTGTGGACATACCTCCTGGAAAATTGTGGTAAATTGAACTATTTGCAGAGTTTAATCTATAATTTAAAATAGTTGACAGCTAACCTATTAATAATGCAAACATAACATTTATGAATCTTTCCTTTTTCAAGATTATTTTGTAATTTTTTTTGAGAGGGTATATAAATTAATATGTAAGAAAGTTCTGATGCAATTTTGTTTAATGCTGGCTCCTTTAAATTGAGTGAAAATAATCATGGTAAACACAAAATTATTGCTTCAGGATCCAAAAAATATGCAGTTCTCATTCTCACTATTTATTTTGTCATGACTTTTGAGGAAACCCTAAAAAAGTGTTGTCATCACAAAAGTTTTGGATGAAACAGAACTTCTTTAACCAGTCTCAAAACAGATGCACGCCTAATTTAATTTATAAAACTAGTTTGATGTATATGATGCTTGCAACTGTTTCATTGAGGTCTAGTTACAGGTTTGCATATCTGGTTTGTTATATGCAATTGTACTGTTTATTTGCTTATTATGTACAGAATAATTTTGAATTGAGTAACGAGCTTCTTACCATGGTGCTATCCATGTTTTATTGCATTTTCTTGATTTAAATGTAAATTAAAGTCGAGTGACAAGATTTTGCCCATTAGATTCATATATTTTAATCTTGTACTATCACTGGTACTTTTCACTGCAAGTGATTTTATTTTTCTTCAGTCCAATTAAGATTAATATATTTACTCTCCATGTTATATTTTATAACACTGTTGGTTGTATATAATTTAGCTGTTACCATTTTCAAAGGAAATACACAAGATACTAAAAGGTTTGACCTGTATTTATTGCTAATATGCATATAGAAAGATTAGCTCCATTATTACTAATGAAGTTATTATAGTGAGGCGTTGAGTACTGAACAATACCATGATAACTCTTGCTGGCAAAATTTCAGCAAATACAGTATTACACAATAATCAAGTTTCTTTAAAAAATGGGGAAAAAGTTGTAGTTAATTTTTATCACTAACGTGCATAAACATCAACCTTGTCACATGACTGGAGCTAATTCCCATCTGTTGTAACTTCTTTGTTAATTTAATGTCAGTAAAGACATGGCCTTTTTGATCATTTAACCTACCAGTGTTAATTTCTATACATACAGAATGAAAAGCTTTCTGTTTAAATTATCTGAATTTTGCCTCTCAAGGTGTGTGCACATTGAGATTTCTCTAGTTAAAATACAATAGCTTTACTTAAGTTTGGTTTGGAAAGAATTTTGTTGGTGCCTAAGATGCAAACTGATTTTTTGTGATGTATTATCACATGCTAATAAAGGCTTTTTTCAGAAACAGTTATGCATTGGATGTAATTTGGTTTGTATGCTGGATCTTTGTATTGCATTCATTCTATATAACATTGTACATTGCAACAAATAGGTTTCATACTGGGGACATAAATATTAGAAGAACTTATTCCGTGTTACTGACTCAACAGTTACTTACTCCGTGCAACAATACCTTAATTTTTGCATTCAAATGAAATTTTTTACTTTAAAAATGCAACATCTACACCCACGCTAGCCAAATTGTTATCTCTGTTCTATGTTTTTGACTAACAAATGTAAAACATGTGGAGGTAACTTGTTGTATAAGGCAGGCAGTATTGAGTGGATCAGCAAACCATCATACATTTCTGGTTTTCAGTTCATTGACTTCAGTGGAAAAAGTATAGGGTGACTGATCTGATACTACTAATTTTATGCCATTGCCAAATGTTAAAATTACTATCTTGATAATCTCAGCTTTGAATTGTGCATAGTAGCATCCTTAAAAATAAAAAATATACATAAGTACCTTGTTTTGACAATGTTCCTTAAGCCAGTTGACTTGAACCAAATGTCCCACTAAATTTCTTCTATTCTTTGTTAATGCTGTAAAATTCATTCCCATGAGCCAATATATTTGCACATCTGTGTTGAAATCAGTCAGTACTGGTTGACTTCAGAGAACATTCCCCTTTGTATAGCAGAGCCTTTTTTTTGAGTTAAACTGTTTGTCAAGTTCTAAAAAAGTGTTCTGTGATTCTTAGAAGTGGACTCTCTCCCTTAAACAGGTTTAAACGGATTATGGTTTGGATCCTGAACACTTTGTTTTGGTGTATGAAAGTAACATTAAGCCTATGAAGACAAATTTATCACTACTGTTTACAAGCTTCTAAATCACTTGAATACTAAGCTTTATGCACCGTTTTTTAAGAATCTGTGAGAGAAAAACGTAGTCAACAATACATTGGGTATATGACCAGTTTACTGATAATAATCAAACATATTATTTTCCACTGTTAGGAGTGAATTGCAAATTTTTACCTCAATTGAAAATATTCTTGAACATGACTGTTACCATACTTGGAAAGAATCCAAAGTCCAGTTATATATTAGCTCAATCAAAAATCCTATGCATAATATAATCTATTATATCCAGACTAGAAATGATTGAACACTATTTTATTATATTGAGATTATTTATTTGTAATCCTAATTCCAGCACCCCCTACTAACTGAATTCAAAGTATTGGTTTAAATCAGACAGCTGTGATGAAATTAAGTAAATATTTACTTGAGAAGTTAGACTATTATATATTCAACTGACTCCAAACTTACCTCACAAATGCCATACTTCACTTCTTCCAGAAAATTTTAAATACCTGAAACCGTGACTTGACACCTCCCTACCACCTTTCCTGTGACTGATGTTCCACCCTCCAACAAACTTGACACTTCCTTCCCGCATTACTGATCCAATGCATCCCTTTCTCCTGCTCTGGACTTGATGTGCCTCAGCCTCCATCTTAGCACTTGACACCCATCCTCTCCTAGCCCCTCCTAGACCTTATTTCCTCATTGAGCTAACCCACCCTAAACATGGCATCACTTACCTTAGCACTTTTCTCCAGTACCCTACCCCATCCACTTGTCATTCTAGACACTTGGCATCCTACCCACTTGGCACCATATCCCACCTGGTACCCTACTTATTGGCATACTACTCCCCCCTTGCTTTTAGTACTTAGCATTGTTTCAGCAGCTGTCAAAGTGATTCTGGACCTTTAAGGTCAGAGGTCGCATGACACCAAGTTGTAATCCAACAGGTTTATTTGAAATCACAAGCTTTTGAAGCACTGCTCCTTTGTCAGGTGAAGTGAAAAGAAGTACACAGGCACAGAATTTATTGGCACAGAGATCAAGAGATCATACAGATGGTGTGAGTGGAATGTCGACAGGCTGAATAACAAGTTTTTGCAGGTGATTGAAAGTGTCAGACGGTGTAAGTAAAGTGTCAACAGCTGAGCAGCAAGTGAAGTGATGACCTACGATCCAATTAATTGAGGCAGAGATAATTACAAAAAGTTAAAAATAAGATTGTGCTAGAGACAAACCAAATGGCTGGGATAACGTGATCGGTGTAAGTGTTGCATGCTGAGGGTCTAACCAAAGTAACAAGTAATCCAGAACTGAACAAACTAATTAAGACAGAGCGATCATAACAAATTATTAATTTGACACCATCACCTTGATAACTTGTTATGATCTCTGTACCTTAATTAGTTTGTATAGTTTTGCATTACTTGTTATTATGGTTAGACCCTCAGCATGTGACTTTTATACCTGTCATGTTATTCCAGTCATTCGGGTTGTCTCCAGCACCATTTTATTTTTAATTTTTATAATTATCTCCCTGCCCTCAATTAATCGGATCATAGATCGTCCCTTCACTTGCTATTCAGCTGTTGACACCTTACTCACACCGTCTGACACTTTTGATCACCTGTATAGACTTGTTATTCAGCCTGTCAACACTCCACTCAGGCCATTTGGATGATCTTTTGAGCTCTCTGCTTATAAATTCTGTGCCTGTGTGCTTCTGTCTCTTCACTTCACCCGACAAAGGAGCAGCGCTCCGAAAGCTTTTGATTTCAAATAAATCTGTTGGACGACAACCTAGTGTCATGTGACTTCTGACCTTGTCCACCCCAGGCTTATCAACCCAGAGCTCAAACCGTTTGTTGAACACCAGTTCCCTGGTGCTAATCATTTCAACAACTACCATTTTCCTTCAAGGGCGATGTTTTCTATATCCTCTATAATGAAGACAAAAGCTAGATATTCATTGATCATATATCTTTTTTAGTTGGTATAGAAATTCTCGGGTAGTTTACTCTCATAGTATAATTTATTTGTTTTAATTAACTTAATTTTATATTCGAGCCTGCCAGTCATCTTTGCTTAAGTTTGATTTTCTTTTGCTACTTTAATCGACCCTGGATGATAAATGCTCCCGTTGGACTTTTTCTTCTTTACAGCAGGGATGCGTATTGTGAAAAATCCCTTTAAATGTTTGTCACTGGTTTGCAACTGATTTATCTCCTAGCCTAATATCCCAGTTCGCTTTAGCTAGTCCAAACTTCTTGCCCTTGTATTGGCATCTTTAAAGTTTAAAATAACAGTCTTAGGCCCACTCTTTTCCCTTTCAAACTAAATGTAAAGTGCAATCATGAAATCATCCCAGCCTGAACGATATGTGTGAGTTGGCTAGTGATGAGCTATTCAATGGAGAAAGAGCAAGAAGCCCCATTTTCCAATCAAGTATTTAATGGCAAGCTGAGAGATTCTTACTAATGAGTGACAAGAGGCCTTTAACATCTTATTATTTCCTAATCTCACCTCACTAATATATAGTCTACCATTCTCCCATCCACCAAATGGAAATTAGATGGTGACAATTCCTGACATGAAAATTAGTGGTTAGCTGATGACTCCAGCTCACCACAAACTCGTCTTGACAACGATCTTGGAAACCAATCAGTAGCATCTCATGGCACACTCCATGAGCGATGATGACACACAACCCCTGTCTGTGAAGGTTGGCATTGAACATGTACTATTCTCACTGCATCATAGCATGCCTCCAAACCATTTACAGCGTGGTTCTGTACTTCACTGCTGAACTTTAGAATACACTGGCGCCGTTCATTGGAATTTTGCAGCAAGGGCACTTTGCACACAAGGACAGACACTCACTTAAGGATTTGACTAGGCTATATCTCATAGATCCTTGCTTGCTCTCTTGGCACTGGCTCATTTTGTGCCTAATTTGATGCCAACCACATCTCTGGCTTGACTTTCTGTTTAGTGCTCTCAGCCAGTGCTTAAGAATCTCTTGTCTTGCTCTTTGGTACAGACATAAAACGAGTCAACTTATCATGGTAGTCAACTATGATCAGTCAAGGGAGTGGACATGTTGCTCTATTGGATTTTGCTATGTCAATCTCACACGTGTAGCATGTGCCAACAGCCTACGTGGCAAGCACACAGCAGTTGCATCAATCAATTGGCCATGCATCAAAGCCCTAAATTTAAGGGGAGTGGTTTTCAATCTGGTCAAGGGGGCGCTGGTACAGTAATTCATGGGCATTGTCCAGTCTCAGGTCAGGGGTTTGGAAAAGGTCAGTCGACCACTAATGGTGGAACCAAGTCAAGGAGTTCATACCACTTTATCCTGTGAAGTGGACCACAAACAGTCCTTCAGATCCAGTGCAAATAATCAGGGGATTCAGGGTAAATCAGACAGAGAATGGCACAAGGATTAGTCATGGGTCTGGTCAGTCATCAGTCAGGACTGTCCCTCCAAGTTGGCAGGGGAAATGGCAGCAGTCAGTCCTGCAGGTCATCTGAATTAAAGTGAATGGCATTATCAGATATATCATTGCAATGGGGAAATAAATGCTGGGGATGAAGAGGTACAAAGAAGGTGAAGGGGTGGAATTTCTAATTATAAGGAGGAGAGACACAGTGTATAGTAGGATGTGAAATATGGCAAGAGAGGCATGTAATCTGTGGTCACAACTAATGGCCTTGACATGGATACTGTACAGCATGATGGTGAGCATGACTCAACTGTAGGGCCAGATCTTACAAAGCAATGATGAGAATTGCAGATGTAGTTCCAGGTAGTGTGTGGAACACATGGAGGATCGGTACTGATGGGCTAGCCAGAGTGCGCCAAAAAAAAGGAAAATTCAGATTCATGGGTCCCAAGACTCTATCTGCATTGCCTTCCATATTCAATCAACTCGAAAATGCACATTGTAAAACAAAAATGGCCACAACCATACCCAGAGTGGATGGAGTCAGTGCTTTTTTATTTTCTGTTTGAGCACGCAGGCTGTACTTGTGAGCGATGTAAGGCTCTTCAAGTGGCAATTGCATTAATTAGGCACTTTCATGGTACAGGTTGAAGTCATCTGTAATCATTATCTTGCATGTGAAATATGCACAGTATCCAAATGCGTGGAGTACAAATTCTGATCACG